GGTAACTGGACTCCAAAGGGACAAATGAGACTGTCTAGTCCCTCAGTGTTGGTGAAACCAGCAAGAGACTTAAATTAACCTTAGAGAATCTCAACTGATGGATAGATGCGTCGTCTCTTCTCTTTGGAGCCAACAGAGGAGGAATGGAAGACTAGGTATTCAGTACAATTGAGTTTAAGGGCAGAGAAAAGGGAAGGTGAAGTGGAGCATGAATCTGAGGCCTCAAGTGTGATTTTCTTAAACGGATATGCAGATTTTTGAAAAAAAATTCATCTGCAAAGCAAACTTTAAATCCACTTTCAACCTTGTAGCTTTGCAGTGATTGTACAGATTTAGAAAACTTCCGTTATTCTTAAATCTCTCTACCCACATTGCACAGCAATTAATACTGAACTCAGTTGTACAGGCCGATTCATCTCCAGTTAGAGTCCTGCTCGGAGGGACACAGTGGTGTGAGATGGAGAACTTCTATCTTCTGACGCTTTTCTTTATGGAGTCCTGATGAAAACCAGAGGAATGAGGATGTTGTTATAGTAATTATTTCTCACATATTGAACAAATTCACATCTAGGTGGTATCTAGTTACTTGCTTGTTGGTGGAACAAAACATCAAGCAACCACAAGTTGAAGGAGGAAAGATCTATCTCAGCCCACAGATTGTAGAGGTGTCAGTCCATTGTCAGCTGGCTCCAAGACAACGTGTGGCAGAGGAGAGACAATCCATGACGAGGCAGGCAGAAGGCAGTGAGCAGCAAGCAGCAGCAGCGAGCCTGCCCTTCCTTTATATCATACCCAGGCTACAAATCTTGTGGTTGGTGCCATGCACTCCCGGAGAGGGCTTTCCCATCATAGACACCCAGAACTATGCCAAGCCAATCAGAGGAGGATCTAGTATCACACACCCCCTACCCCAGCATCACATCCCCTAGATCCAGCCCACTCCTAAAATTCCCAGCTGTGAGCTCATGAGGCTTTGGGAGGACACTTAAGTCATACATATCTGTAAGCCATAACAGATGAATTAGTCTTTATCACTCTACTATTTCTTTATCACTCCTCTTCCCCTGATCATGAATGCTACAATAATGTGCACTACATTCCAAAATAGCTTTCCTTAAAAGTGTAATTATTGAATACCTTAAAATTATTAAGCTGACTGAGGATATCTGGCCCTTTTTTATTCATTATTTTTAAATTGGAAATAAGATCATTAGGAAAGAAACATCCACTTAGAAGTCAGTTACTTTTAAAAATCCCTTCTCAGTTTTCTGTTTTTTGTTGCTACTATATTTGTTTCTCATAAATAAAAGAAAAGCAGACATACCATGTATGTCGCAAACACCCCCAAAGCTTGAGACTTCCATATTACAAAAATCATATTAATTCATATTTTGAAAAATCATATTTGTTCATTTAAACAAAAACACTGTGAGCCAAATAAAGCTCCCAGCACCTTCAGTTCAGACATCCTTTCCCACCCCACAGCCAGGGAGAATGCATCTCTTCCTTCTTCCATCTTCCCTTGGTCTGATGCACCAAGTCCTCTCACACCTGATCTTATTTTGGCAACTGGGCTGGCAACTGTTAGTATCCTTCATCCAACCAGTCCTCTCAACTCCCATTTCTGTGATCCTACAGTGAAGTGTTCTGTGGATTTTCTGTGCTACGTGTAACATGTACTGAATAACTTGGTGCTTAAAGTATATGACTCACTTTAGGAGAAAGCAACCTTACAGAAGTCTTACAGTTGTGAAGCAGAAGATGCATCTGTTGCATACATTACTTATGTAAAGTGGGAAGGGAGAATGTGGAAAGTATTTACCTTCTCTTAGTTACTTTGCCGTTTGCGTCTCTCTGTTGATTTTAAGTTTCTCGGAGCAAGGACTATGCTTTAAATTTTTAAACTGTCTTTAGGGTTTAACTTACTCACTCCATAATACTCCTAAAAATTTGCAAAGCATTAACACTAACTAACTACATATATTTCCCTCTACAAGTAACAATGCCTAAGAGAAATTTCTGTCCTCTTTATATAACATTTTCTGTCAACAGGTGATTAATTTCTAGGGAGACTGAGCTGTGCTGGATGATTTTCTCTTTCCAGATGTTTTTTCCCCGTGATACATTCTGATCCATGAGGCCCTGGGAGGTGACTGCAATCACACTTGAGAAGTCACACCTGGAATTCACCATTCTTCCTCTGCTGCATGTTTTCCCACAGTTAAATGTCAAATCTAAGTTCCTTGCTAAGGGACTTGATTATTTGATTATGTATAAAAATGCTCCTGCTTAATATTAGCTTATTGATGGCTAGCACCTAAATGTAGGCAGAACTATAAAGGTGCAACCAATCTGTTTTATGATCAGATATAATTTACCCAATAGTGAGCTGCATGTTCAAGGATAGATTATATTTTTTATGGCACATCGTCATTTAAAACTGGTACCAGACTAGACTAAGAGCTCTGAGTACTGCCTTCTATATAAAATAGGAAAACACTATATAACTTTTTTCTTAATAGTGACCAGTACATATCAGTGTATGCATGTACACATTCATTTATGAGTTCATATATATTATATATAACATATATATTATATGTATTTCAGTTTCCTATACCAAACGTATGCCTATGTTCAAACATCAACATAATATTTTCATCTCATGTTCTAGCCTTATTTTAATCTCTCCTGTTCACCAGCAAATCATGTAAATTTTCTGTTTTCCTGTAGAGTATTTTAATGACTTTGCTTGCATTCTTTTTCCGCTAAGCTGAAAATAGTCTTTTGTTTGGAGTGCTTTTTAGTATGTGCTTGAAAGCACTCACTAAAGAGCTGTGTGATAGCATGTTTTAAATGTCAATTAAACTCTCCTTTAGGGACAGTTACAGCTTCACCTAAGAAGCAATCTTTTGGCTCAATCACATCAACAGTTACATATAATCAAATGATTTATATCTGCAATCATATCATCCTGATTTTCTTGTAGGAGAGCAGTGGTTTCACTGAAAATCCAATATTCAAAGTATGACTTATTTAGTGTATAGTTACAGTAGAGTTTTAATTACTGTTCCCCCAACACACCCTTTTATTAGTATGTTTGCTATATATAATGACTATATTCACCCATGCATGTAACACATCTGTATTTCCTTCTTCCCCCATGCACCTGCCTTTTATTTTTCCAGCATAGCATTCATTTATTTACCTTATAAGATTTTACAAATAGGCCAAAGAACATATAAAGCATGACAATTGTAGTAAGTCAAGGTATTCTTTCAGATACATTGTTCCACTGGGTTCCAATATCTATTTTCACATCTTTTTTCTTATTATCTCTCTTTATTTTAAGAAAATATATATATCTATCTATAGCTATATAATTAATATCATCTACATCATCCTCGTACTTTCTCATGTGATAGAAAGTATGGTCTATTTAAGCTCGTGTGCCTGAGTCACTACACTTACCATCATGATCTCAAGATGCGTCTGTTTTCTTACAAATGACTCAAGTTTATCATTTTTATGACAGAATGGTCCCCCACTGTATTTAATACCACATTTTAATGTATTCATTTGTTGATTGATATATAGTTACTGGCTTTAAAAATAACTATGAAAACATTTTTTGGTTAAAGAAACAAAGTGAAACAATCAAAAGGATCTTAGAATTAAAGGGTCATATTTTCTTAATAATTATCACACTAATTGTCATTTCTTTACATTTGACCTGGAGATCAGCATACTATAAAGTATATAAAGTAAGCCAAACTTACTTGTGGCACAAGTCCATCATACATACTACCAAAGTTTGGAAGTTCCAGAACAATTTTAAAGCTGGGAGAGGTGCAGAACTGAATTGAAGTTTATGCCCTGTTAATGTGCTCCCCAAAATCCAATCCTAACAGCTAATACCGATGACAGTGACCTCTATGCTCTTTAACATAATATTACAAACCTGTTGTAGCTTACAGAGTTTGTAATATTATTTCCAACTTTCAGAGGCAGATACCAAAGATGAGAGCGATTACTTACCTTTATCTAGGTAACAAAGCCAGCTTGTGGAGAATACAGAATTCATGTCCCATTGCATTTGAGAATTAAATGGGAAATTAAATGTAGACTCCAAGAAAATATGTTCATATATTCCTAAAAGCTAGTATAGAGATTCTTAAGTCTAGCATTTTCCAAATAGTACCCCATGTTCAACAATTCTGTATAAAAGCTTCCATAGTCAAACAGATCAGAAAACTCACTGTACAGTATTTCTCTGTACAGTATTTCTCTTCACTCTTGCAAGTTTACAGTGCATAAGGTTAAAACAAAGGTTCTGAGAACTACTGAGTAAAGAGATATTTTTCAAGTAGTGTTTTCTAGCCATGACTAACATGAAAACTCATTGAACTGACCTTGCCAGTGCCTTCAAATTTGTGTTTCTTGGAACATAAGTTCTGAGAAAATCTCACCCTACTGTCTCATAAGTACTATAATCCAAGCTGAAAATGGCTTAGAGACTCTGAAATCTTCCCTCGGAATCCTGTCAGGCTTCGTGCAGCTTTTTAGTCAGGGTATAGGCATAACGGTTCTGCATTTGCGGTTTCTTCAACATTTCCACTTTCATTTAAGTATTCAACAGACAATCTACCATTACAGTAAAGATAACGTGATAGCATAAAAATGTTGACACATTCTAATTTGTTAAACACAAATTACTCAATAAATATTTAATGTAATCAATATTTAACCTTTTTATTAAATATTGTGTTCAACTTTACCCATTTTATATTTAACAATTAGACAAAAATAGAGCCACCCATCAACAACAAAAGTCTTCTATAGTCTTAGAGAGGTCTTAAGACTCATCTTTTAGGTTAGGACCAGAGGATACAAGGAGATTTTATTGCCATAATTTACTGCAGGATATGGAGGAGTTAATTACCATAATTCAACAGTACTTAGTAAATATTTTCTGACCACTGTGTGTTTCGTCATTTCAGTTCCCCCGAAGATATATGACATTTCTAATGACATGACCATCAACGAAGGAACCAATGTCACCCTTACTTGTTTGGCCACTGGGAAGCCAGAACCTTCCATCTCTTGGAGACACATCTCCCCATCAGGTAAAGTGGCAAGAGAGGCATCATTATTGTTTGCAATTCCTTATTCTCATGTGACCTCCTTGATTCAGAACTTGGGTCGAGTCTTTAATTTTTTGTATATTATTCAACAAATAAAATTTTCTAGTCATGACTGACACAAGAACTCATTGAACTGACCTTTCCAATGCCTTAAAATGTGTGTTCTTCAAAACATAATTCCAGGAAAATCTAGCCCTAGTATCTTGTAAGTGCAGTATCAAGGCTGAAAATGACTTTGAGACCCTGAAATCTTCAGAATGCATCTTTAATACTTTTACTTTATATCTAAAATCACTGTAGTTCACAAAACTCTGAATTTCTGGGAGAGGCCGGAATAAAGCTATCTTTTGATTCCTAGTCAAGGTTATTTTCGCTTTAGTATACTGGATAATCATAAATCAATAAACAAAAGACTCAAATAGAAATATCACAAGAGACAAGTCTTCATTTCAATGTGTAAGGGATTTATTCAACTGGCATTCACATGTTAATAGGCCAGCATGAACTGCTGAAGTAATCAGGGGAGAATGAAATTATACAAATTGTGAGGTTTCTGGGTCTAATTTCAAACTGCTGTTCAGAATCAAGGATTTTAGAGTTAGAATTAAATTTTTTAACTGTTGAGGGATCTAGAAACCCCAGAGTATAACTTGTCACATAGATACCATAGGTAAGTAACATTAAGGCTGGAACGTGTTTATGGGCTTCAGTGATTTTGCTGTGGTGTGTATCTGCCCCAAAGTAGTTAAGTCAATTTTAAGAAGGTGGTGATAATCATCCTCAAAACAGGTCTATTTGCACAACCATATACCTAATAGTTATGTTCAGTTTAAAGTTCAAGCTATATTTCAGACATCCTTTGCAAATGACAGATATTTTTAACAGATAAGATCCTACTTCATTTCAAATAAATCAAATTTTATTGTGTTATAATTTTGTGTAATTTTATTAACCAATGCTTATGTAATTAATTTGCTATTAATAAAATCAGAAGGGAACATTTTATATAGGTTTGGAAAGATGTAGTTGGAATATTTATTTACCTGCAAATTTTTCCTTTGATGTCACTTATATTTAAGTGTCTTTCAGTTTCCTCACTCATAAGGAGACTTACCCACATTACATGCTTAGCATTATTTACTCAAGTAAAGGAAACCAACGTGAAAGCAGACACACCTATCTAAATATACATTATGGCCCTTACCATACATAAAGTCGGATTGTTCTCTTGACTCCTAGAACTCCACTCTCTAGAGCTACTCCAGCATCATAAAACTGATGTGATAGCCTTGAGTTCATGGCCAGATTCTCCACAGGGTAAAAGTGAAACAAATTCAGGACTAGCAATTGTTAGATCCACGGGCTTTTAAAATGATTTCTTTGTTCATCCATTCAGCCAGTCTTTGCATGACTGTCTAAGCCTCAGTGATCCGTAGCTACTGACAGACAAAATTATACACATTTATTCTGTATAACATAATGGTTTAAAGTATACATACACTGTAGAATAGAAACATCTATCTGATTAAGGAGTGCATTACCTCACATAGGTTTTCATAGTAAAAACACTTAAATTCCACTTTGGACTTTTGAGAAATACAATGTCACCACTACATAGGTCTCTTGAGCTTATTCCACCTATCTGACTATAATTATTAACCCATTTGATCAACTATGTGTGATGGCTATTGTGTGAATTAAATAAGGTAATAGGCACGAATTTGTTTTAAAACTTATAATGTCATATGCAAATCCACAGCTGGTTATTAACCATCTTTTCAGGCATTTCAATCTGATGCGGCAATATAATTTTTATAAGAATGAAGCACATAATCTCATCTTCATGTAACTTAAAGAATAATATTTTGGACTTCACTCTCCAATTTACAGTTCTCATCATTATGCATATTCTTTTTAAGTGCTTAGATATATTTTTAGCTTAATTAAATAGTAGGAATGTTGGTTAGTGGAGTTATTAGAATAATGATAATGGATAACATCATGAAGCGGGAAGAAGACAGATTGGATTTATAAATCAAATTGTACATAGATTTGTTTTTGTAATCTTTCCATGGTGAGAAAAGGAGTAAAATTAGCATAAATATTAACTATTATATAACGAATAGCTAGACTTCGAGTATACTTTTTAAATGCTTCCAATAATTTCAAATTGTAATTCATTAATGATCTATATTCAGATATACAGCATCATATAATTTCTACTGAACGTGACATGTCTGTTAATTCTATTAGCTTTTTCAACTTATATTTTTATAGGATTAAAGTAAATGAGAACTACAGTATTTAGATGTAGAAATGTAACCATGTACACTGTTAGCCAAGGTGGAAATTTATTTTCTCTCCTTACACACAGGGTATTTCCTTTTCTAGGAATATGCTTTGTCTCTTTATCTAACTGGCAAATTCCTATTCATCCTTCAGGTTTTCATAAAACCACTCCTAAGCATCACGGGAAAGATGAGTAATTAAAAATTTCTGTCTTGTGCAAAACGAACCCTCTGCAGTGTTGTCAGGGGCTTTGTCTATGATCTCTTAGAACCTAGGTCCAGAGATGTTCTGTTCCTCCTCATCCCATGGCTGTAGACTCAGGTACTTCTCTCTTTGGACTCTCAGAACTTGAGGTTAAAATTAGAAAATATGCTGTAGATTTTTAGAATTAGAAATTAAAACTGAAAACGAGATGATGTAGTAGTGGCACAAGAAAGCACTTGCTTTCTCTTGTTTCCCCATTGTTTTTCTTCTGGCCTCACTCTAGACATATTTCATTTACACAGAGAGCTGCTTACGCTGGTTTTACCCTTTATCCTTCAACCCACACTCATCAGCTACCTTCCATGCAATAAGTAGTGAGAAAGATACACATAATCATTTAAATCGAAGACTAAACTTACTCTATCAATGAATATAATGCTTAGACTAAGTCAATTACTTCCTATGAGCATGATTTTTTTTTATTTATACTATGAAATAATGAGACAGAATTAGAAAGCTAGCATGGTCTCCATGTGCATTTCACTCGGTTTCTCCCGACTGTTCTCTCATGAACAACTTTCGAGTTGCACTGAAGTAGAAAATGGGCAGCAGTGAACCATGTGTGTACAGTTCTTTGCTGGTCCCATCACAAGAGCTGACTACCACCAGCAGATGCAGAACTATTCCCTTACCACAAATATCTCTTGTGCTGTCCCTTTTATTGACACCTCCGCTCACCCCTGTTCTTATCCTGGACGACCCCTGATTGTCCAGTTTTATAAGTGTCTTTTCTAGAAAGATGTTTAATTGAAATCATATGCTAAGTAACACCGAAAAATTGACCTCTTATGCCAAGGCCCTCAGTTTACTGTGGCCTGCATCGATTCTTTAATTTTTGTTTTGTTGCTGAATAGAATCATTCAATATGACTACATCACCATCTTCTTCATCGCTCATCTATCACTGAATATTTGATTCTTTTGAATTTTTGCTATAACAAAAAAATTGCTATGAACAGTTATGTTTTTCTGTCATTTTACTTTTTTAACCTACATCTGTTGCTATATTCTAAGTGAGACTATTGACAACAGCATATGAAACAGAATACAGTAGTAGTTCTTGTTTATTCAGTTTTTTCATCCTCTGTATTTTCACTGATGCTTTAGACAGCTCACTTTGGGTTTAATTATTGGCTAACAAGCCAAAGTGAACCTCTCACACTTTTTTATTTATGTTTATTCTCTATTATTTTTGTTTCTTTGTTTTCTTTTTGGGGACTTCTTGAGCATTAAATTTTTCATAAATCCAACTCATCAATAAGATTTTTTAACTGAATCTCTTTGCACAGTTAGAAGTTCTCTATATTGCTTTGTAAATGTGCAAGTTATAATCTAAGGGTGCCACCTTTAACAAGTCAAGTGAAGCACAGAAACCTTATTTCTTTTATGCTGCCCAATTAAAATGCACTTCTCATAAATATTTTTTCTGAATATATGAGAAAGTGTTTTGGATAAAGTATTATAGATCTTGTTTAAATTGTAAATAAGATTTTAAAAACTCAAATAAATGAAAACTTTTATTTATTTTTTTCATTTTTCATCTTTCTTATTGTTTTCTGTTCCCTTCTTATTGTTTTGTGTTGTTCTAAGTTCCCTTCATTGTTTAAATTTCTGATAGCCACTCCTTTATATTAGAACAACTGGAGATAGATTCTCTTAGTTTTCTACACCTGAGGTTATTTTGATTCTTTCCTTATTCCTAACATGAGTTTTCACTTCATACAGAATACTGAGCTAGTAAAAGATGTCAACAATTATTTAGTATTTAATTAGCCTTAAAATTGTCATAAAATAATATTTGAGAATCATGTAAAAAGTCTAGAAATTTTGAAATCCAAGAAAACAGTATTATATAATGTTTTTCGTGAGTATTGCTGTGTGTAAGTATTGGTGTTGTAAATTAATAATGTAGTATCAATCAAGATGACAATAAATTTGTTCTGAACTAAGAGATTTAAGGACTTATTTGGCAATGAGAGTACTTTCAGGATTAATGTAGTAAACAAAGTCAAGTATGCATTAGACTATACATGAGCAGTCTCAGGTTTATGGAACAATTTATCATATTTTCCTTTCTTGGTAAACAAGAATATTGCCCTGATTATTCTTTTGTATTTTCCCTATGGCTAATTATTAGTCAGCATTATCATTGCTGAGACATAATATCAACACTAACAACCGAAAAAGGGGAGTTTTGTTTTATGTTGTTAAGGGATTCAGCTCATGGTCACATGGGTTCAGGGCAGGAATATCATGGCAGCCAGGAAGGAGAGCAAGGGGATGGTGCCAGAAAGAGAGATCAGTTACAGAGCCTAGGTCAGTCTCCATGACCCACCAAACACACTCAGAAGTGTGCCCCAACCACTCCCTGGGCAGGTCCCACATGGATACAATCAAACCCAAGCCTCATAGGCACTTTTGCTCTAAGAC